GCTGTGTCTGTTAGCTGTGTGTCTGTTAGCTGTGACTCTGTTAGCTGTGTCTCTGTTAGCTGTTTGTCTGTTAGCTGTGTCTCTGTTAGCTGTGTCTCTGTTAGCTGTGTCTCTGTTAGCTGTTTGTCTGTTAGCTGTGTCTCTGTTAGCTGTGTCTCTGTTAGCTGTGTCTCTGTTAGCTGTGTCTCTGTTAGCTGTGTCTCTGTTAGCTGTGTCTCTGTTAGCGGTGTCTCTGTTAGCTGTGTCTCTGTTAGCTGTGTCTCTGTTAGCTGTGTGTCTGTTAGCTGTGTCTGTTAGCTGTGTGTCTGTTAGCTGTGACTCTGTTAGCTGTGTCTCTGTTAGCTGTGTCTCTGTTAGCTGTGTGTCTGTTAGCTGTGTCTCTGTTAGCTGTGTCTCTGTTAGCTGTGTCTCTGTTAGCTGTGTCTCTGTTAGCGGTGTCTCTGTTAGCGGTGTGTCTGTTAGCTGTGTCTCTGTTAGCTGTGTCTCTGTTAGCTGTGTCTCTGTTAGCTGTGTCTCTGTTAGCTGTGTGTCTGTTAGCTGTGACTCTGTTAGCTGTGTGTCTGTTAGCTGTGACTCTGTTAGCTGTGTCTCTGTTAGCTGTGTCTCTGTTAGCTGTGACTCTGTTAGCTGTGTCTCTGTTAGCTGTGTCTCTGTTAGCTGTGTGTCTGTTAGCTGTGTGTCTGTTAGCTGTGTCTCTGTTAGCTGTGTCTCTGTTAGCTGTGTCTCTGTTAGCTGTGTGTCTGTTAGCTGTGTGTCTGTTAGCTGTGTCTCTGTTAGCGGTGTCTCTGTTAGCTGTGTCTCTGTTAGCTGTGTCTCTGTTAGCGGTGTCTCTGTTAGCTGTGTCTCTGTTAGCTGTGTGACTCTGTTAGCTGTGTCTCTGTTAGCTGTGTCTCTGTTAGCTGTGTGTCTGTTAGCTGTGTCTCTGTTAGCTGTGTCTCTGTTAGCTGTGTCTCTGTTAGCTGTGTGTCTGTTAGCTGTGTCTCTGTTAGCTGTGTCTCTGTTAGCTGTGTCTCTGTTAGCGGTGTGTCTGTTAGCTGTGTCTCTGTTAGCTGTGTGTCTGTTAGCTGTGTGACTCTGTTAGCGGTGTGTCTGTTAGCTGTGTCTCTGTTAGCTGTGTGTCTGTTAGCTGTGTCTCTGTTAGCTGTGTGTCTGTTAGCTGTGTCTCTGTTAGCGGTGTGTCTGTTAGCTGTGTCTCTGTTAGCTGTGTGTCTGTTAGCTGTGTCTCTGTTAGCTGTGTCTCTGTTAGCTGTGACTCTGTTAGCTGTGACTCTGTTAGCTGTGTCTCTGTTAGCTGTGTCTCTGTTAGCTGTGTGTCTGTTAGCTGTGTCTCTGTTAGCTGTGTGTCTGTTAGCTGTGTCTCTGTTAGCTGTGTCTCTGTTAGCTGTGACTCTGTTAGCTGTGACTCTGTTAGCTGTGACTCTGTTAGCTGTGTGTCTGTTAGCTGTGACTCTGTTAGCTGTGTGTCTGTTAGCTGTGTGTCTGTTAGCTGTGTCTCTGTTAGCTGTGTGTCTGTTAGCTGTGTGTCTGTTAGCTGTGTCTCTGTTAGCTGTGTCTCTGTTAGCTGTGTCTCTGTTAGCTGTGTCTCTGTTAGCTGTGTGTCTGTTAGCTGTGTGTCTGTTAGCTGTGTCTCTGTTAGCTGTGTCTCTGTTAGCTGTGTCTCTGTTAGCTGTGTGTCTGTTAGCTGTGTCTGTTAGCTGTGTGTCTGTTAGCTGTGACTCTGTTAGCTGTGTCTCTGTTAGCTGTGTCTCTGTTAGCTGTGTGTCTGTTAGCTGTGTCTCTGTTAGCTGTGTCTCTGTTAGCTGTGTCTCTGTTAGCTGTGTCTCTGTTAGCGGTGTCTCTGTTAGCGGTGTGTCTGTTAGCTGTGTCTCTGTTAGCTGTGTCTCTGTTAGCTGTGTCTCTGTTAGCTGTGTCTCTGTTAGCTGTGACTCTGTTAGCTGTGTGTCTGTTAGCTGTGACTCTGTTAGCTGTGTCTCTGTTAGCTGTGTCTCTGTTAGCTGTGACTCTGTTAGCTGTGACTCTGTTAGCTGTGTCTCTGTTAGCTGTGTCTCTGTTAGCTGTGTGTCTGTTAGCTGTGTGTCTGTTAGCTGTGTCTCTGTTAGCTGTGTCTCTGTTAGCTGTGTCTCTGTTAGCTGTGTCTCTGTTAGCTGTGTGTCTGTTAGCTGTGTGTCTGTTAGCTGTGTCTCTGTTAGCGGTGTCTCTGTTAGCTGTGTCTCTGTTAGCTGTGTCTCTGTTAGCGTGTCTCTGTTAGCTGTGTCTCTGTTAGCTGTGTGACTCTGTTAGCTGTGTCTCTGTTAGCTGTGTCTCTGTTAGCTGTGTGTCTGTTAGCTGTGTCTCTGTTAGCTGTGTCTCTGTTAGCTGTGTCTCTGTTAGCTGTGTGTCTGTTAGCTGTGTCTCTGTTAGCTGTGTCTCTGTTAGCTGTGTCTCTGTTAGCGTGTGTCTGTTAGCTGTGTCTCTGTTAGCTGTGTGTCTGTTAGCTGTGTGACTCTGTTAGCTGTGTCTGTTAGCTGTGTCTCTGTTAGCTGTGTGTCTGTTAGCTGTGTCTCTGTTAGCTGTGTGTCTGTTAGCTGTGTCTCTGTTAGCGTGTGTCTGTTAGCTGTGTCTCTGTTAGCTGTTGTCTGTTAGCTGTGTCTCTGTTAGCTGTGTCTCTGTTAGCTGTGACTCTGTTAGCTGTGACTCTGTTAGCTGTGTCTCTGTTAGCTGTGTCTCTGTTAGCTGTGTGTCTGTTAGCTGTGTCTCTGTTAGCTGTGTGTCTGTTAGCTGTGTCTCTGTTAGCTGTGTCTCTGTTAGCTGTGACTCTGTTAGCTGTGACTCTGTTAGCTGTGACTCTGTTAGCTGTGTCTGTTAGCTGTGTGTCTGTTAGCTGTGACTCTGTTAGCTGTGTCTCTGTTAGCTGTGTGTCTGTTAGCTGTGTCTCTGTTAGCTGTGTCTCTGTTAGCTGTGTCTCTGTTAGCTGTGTCTCTGTTAGCTGTGTCTCTGTTAGCTGTGTCTCTGTTAGCGGTGTCTCTGTTAGCTGTGTCTCTGTTAGCTGTGTGACTCTGTTAGCTGTGTCTCTGTTAGCTGTGTCTCTGTTAGCTGTGTGTCTGTTAGCTGTGTCTCTGTTAGCTGTGTCTCTGTTAGCTGTGTCTCTGTTAGCTGTGTGTCTGTTAGCTGTGTCTCTGTTAGCTGTGTCTCTGTTAGCTGTGTCTCTGTTAGCTGTGTCTGTTAGCTGTGTCTCTGTTAGCTGTGTGTCTGTTAGCTGTGACTCTGTTAGCGTGTGTCTGTTAGCTGTGTCTCTGTTAGCTGTGTGTCTGTTAGCTGTGTCTCTGTTAGCTGTGTCTCTGTTAGCTGTGTCTCTGTTAGCTGTGTCTCTGTTAGCTGTGTCTCTGTTAGCTGTGTCTCTGTTAGCTGTGTCTCTGTTAGCTGTGTCTCTGTTAGCTGTGTGTCTGTTAGCTGTGTCTCTGTTAGCTGTGTCTCTGTTAGCTGTGTCTCTGTTAGCTGTGTGTCTGTTAGCTGTGTCTCTGTTAGCTGTGTCTCTGTTAGCTGTGTCTCTGTTAGCTGTGACTCTGTTAGCTGTGACTCTGTTAGCTGTGTCTCTGTTAGCTGTGACTCTGTTTGCTGTGTGTCTGTTAGCTGTGTCTCTGTTAGCTGTGTCTCTGTTAGCTGTGTCTCTGTTAGCTGTGTCTCTGTTAGCTGTGTCTCTGTTAGCTGTGTCTCTGTTAGCTGTGTCTGTTAGCTGTGTCTGTTAGCTGTGTCTCTGTTAGCTGTGACTCTGTTAGCTGTGACTCTGTTAGCTGTGTCTCTGTTAGCTGTGTCTCTGTTAGCTGTGTCTCTGTTAGCTGTGTGTCTGTTAGCTGTGTCTGTTAGCTGTGTCTCTGTTAGCTGTGACTCTGTTAGCTGTGTCTCTGTTAGCTGTGTCTCTGTTAGCTGTGTCTGTTAGCTGTGTCTCTGTTAGCTGTGACTCTGTTAGCTGTGTCTCTGTTAGCTGTGTCTCTGTTAGCTGTGTCTCTGTTAGCTGTGACTCTGTTAGCTGTGTGTCTGTTAGCTGTGTCTCTGTTAGCTGTGTGACTCTGTTAGCTGTGTGACTCTGTTAGCTGTGTCTCTGTTAGCTGTGTCTCTGTTAGCTGTGTGTCTGTTAGCTGTGTCTCTGTTAGCTGTGTCTCTGTTAGCTGTGTCTCTGTTAGCTGTGTCTCTGTTAGCTGTGACTCTGTTAGCTGTGTCTCTGTTAGCTGTGTCTCTGTTAGCTGTGTCTCTGTTAGCTGTGTCTCTGTTAGCTGTGTGTCTGTTAGCTGTGTCTCTGTTAGCTGTGTGTCTGTTAGCTGTGTCTCTGTTAGCTGTGTCTCTGTTAGCTGTGACTCTGTTAGCTGTGTCTCTGTTAGCTGTGTCTCTGTTAGCTGTGACTCTGTTAGCTGTGTCTCTGTTAGCTGTGTCTCTGTTAGCTGTGTGTCTGTTAGCTGTGTCTCTGTTAGCTGTGTCTCTGTTAGCTGTGACTCTGTTAGCTGTGTCTCTGTTAGCTGTGTCTCTGTTAGCTGTGACTCTGTTAGCTGTGTCTCTGTTAGCTGTGTCTCTGTTAGCTGTGACTCTGTTAGCTGTGACTCTGTTAGCTGTGTCTCTGTTAGCTGTGTCTCTGTTAGCTGTGACTCTGTTAGCTGTGACTCTGTTAGCTGTGTCTCTGTTAGCTGTGACTCTGTTAGCTGTGACTCTGTTAGCTGTGTCTCTGTTAGCTGTGTCTCTGTTAGCTGTGACTCTGTTAGCTGTGTCTCTGTTAGCTGTGTCTCTGTTAGCTGTGTCTCTGTTAGCTGTGTGTCTGTTAGCTGTGACTCTGTTAGCTGTGTCTCTGTTAGCTGTGTCTCTGTTAGCTGTGTCTCTGTTAGCTGTGACTCTGTTAGCTGTGTCTCTGTTAGCTGTGTCTCTTCCTGCACGTCTTCTGTTAAAAAGACAAACTGTTTCACACCGATGGACGAACTGATCAAAGTACAGACTAAAAATCAAAGTAGGCTCATGACAGCTGATTAAATACTTACAATAACATTCTTCACATAACCGGCCGTCTCAAGAGCCTGAAAGCACAAACCGTTTTACTTTAACTTCACTTTCTTTACTTGAATCAAGCAGCCTAAGCCTCCTGATATTTTAGATTTCAGAAACCATTTCAATGATATGCTTTTGTAGTAGACGTACTGCATTCATTAAAGTATCTGAAGTAGTAGCTTTATTAGTAGAAGTGTTAGCAGTATTTAGAGTGGTGTTAGCAGTAGGCTACATGTAGCACAGCAGTAATTGAAGAAGTATTTGCAGTATAGTTGCAGTGTTTGAAGTATTTGTAGTATTTCTTGGCGGTGTTTGCACCTTGGAAAGGTCTTCGATGATGTGTTGCTGCTCCAGGACTTGTAAGCGCAGAAACTCCATCTCGCTGTCGTCCTGGCTGTAACCATGGTAACTGGAGGAGTGGCTGCGATCCAGGTCGTTCAGAGAGCTCGGCCTCCTCTGTGAAACATCAAAAAAACACACCTGAGGTCACCTGACAGTGATGTCACTTCCTGTCTGCAGAACTCTAGAGGTTTTCAAAATGGACAAAGTAGGCTGAGTTCTGAACAGCTGGATTGATGACATCACACCGCTGTATGATGATGTCATAGTGCTGTATGATGATGTCACTGATTGTGAGTACTGTTATTAAAGAACACAATCATAATTTCATACAAAGTCTCACATATAATCAAATATATAACAAAATGTGAAATGAAATAATTCAATTTAGAATTTAGTATAAAACATTTTTTTTTTCATTAGTTCTTTATTTAAACAGACCGACCCTACAGGTGAACTGGTCATGGTCTGCAGGTTTACAGGTTAGACTGGGACTGACCCAGCTCTCAGACTGTGTTGTTCCAGGTGTGTTATGGATACAAGAGTACAGGGTTTCAGGTTACCATAGTTACCATCTCCATGTTCTCCTGGGTGACGAAGCGGAGCTTGTTGTCGAGGCGACGCAGAGCGAGAGCGAGCTCCTCGTTCTTCCGGCTCAGGCGCTTGTTTTTATCGAGGAGAGGAAGAAACTGGGACTCCGCCTCCCGCAGGCGCTTCAGCTGCACCGGGAAGACACAACACAGGAAGTACGCAAATTACAAAATACACAAACTACTACAAATGTGTAAAAAAAATACTTATCACCGTTTAATGGTCAGGGTTAGAATCCCATGTAAGGTGTGTGTTTGTGTGTACCAGCTCGTTGCGTTCTTCAGACAGCAGAGCGTTTCGATCCTCCAACTTCCTGACGACCGAACTGAGCTCAGCGATCTTCAGCTGAAACCTGCGAGTGTCCCGATCCTCCTGAGTCTGTGACACACAACAACACAGACACACACACACACACACACACACACACACACACACACACACACATATACACACAAAAAAATGTCTACAGGACGTGTGGGGAAAAAATCACTAAAGGGGTGTAACAAGCATTTCACCAACAGCTGTCCAATCACAGAACTTCACAGACGGTCAATGATGTGCTGTGTTATGAACACCATATTTAATTACCATATTTACTCTGGATCATGTTTATCATAAGCAGCAGGGCTACAAAGTTATAACAGACAAAGTAAGAGTGCTGGTCGTTTCAAAAGAAGTGCAGTGGTCATTGTAGTTGTCGTGGTGATACAGTGGTGTGATAGAATTGTATTATCTCTGTAGATGTAACAACATTTAGCTCGTTCCCTGGGCTGAAGACAGAATGATAGGGTTGGCTGTGACACTCTGTGTCTCCCCTCATATTTGGCTTTGTTTGTCAGACTTAGTGGCTGCTCTCCATTGTCTTAAAACTTCAAATTCTTATTGTGTCAAATCACAAGTTTAGCTTTTTGTGGCAGTGATGGAAGTCATGGAGGTCATTATGGAGATTTTTTTAACTTGAAGCTTCAACAAAAGCACACACCTGTACAAGATGATTACAGTCAGAACGAGGAGGAATCTACAAAATGTAAATGAAGAAGATCCAGACAATACAGCATCACCTGAGTCAGAGTCAGGAAACACCTGAGTAGTCTCCTGTCAACTGTGTTGTTTTAGGAATCTTTGACAGACAGAGACAGAGAGACAGGAAGTGTTTGGAGAGAGAGAGAGAGGGTGGGCGACATGCATCAATCAGCATCAGGACAGGGAGTCGAACCTGGGACAGGTGTGACGAGGACTATGAGCTCTGAACATGAGGCACCTGACCTACTGACCAAGGCAAACCAGCACCACACCTGAGCTTCATTTTTAAAAATCAAACATGGTCGCTGCTGCAGAACGCAGAAAGAAAATGTTTATCTTTTTAAAAAAACAACACGTGATGTTTACATTTTTGGTCATACAGAAACAGCTCAAAGTTTCAGCTCACATGTAGAGATGCTGCAGAGATGGTCTTATTACTTCTGACCACCAGGGGGCAGTATAAACTTTCTGTTCTTTAATGCAACTGTGAGCAACCCTGCCTGCTGAACGATTCCAATAAATGAGAGGATTATGGGAAACAGAGGAGAAGAGGATCCATCTTTGTGATGACGTTCTGAGTGTTTGGATGGTTTAGATTAGTCAAGCATTGGTCACATGTTTGATGATGTCATTATGACTCTGCAGAAGGCGGAGCTTGAGATGGGATGCCATGGATAAAACTCAGATGTCAAACAGTGACAGGAAGTAGATTTAAATCATGCAGAACAAGCAGGAGGAGGCGGGGCTTACAATGTGAGCAGAAGTGTTAGGGGCGGGGTTAGGGCCTTGGCCAGGAGGGGTAAGCCCCGCCCTCTGGGCATCTCTCAGGACTGCGATTTGCTGCTCTGCAGCCTGAGTCTGCAGCTGGAGGCGGTGGGCGTGGCCAGCCTGAAGGCCGAGGGCTTTATCCAAAACACTGACCGCTCTGTCCTTCAGCTTTATCTCATCCATCTAAAGGGAGACAGACAGGTGGGCAGAGACAGACAGGTAGGGAGAGGCAGACAGGTAGGGAGAGACGGATAGGTGGGGAGAGACACACAGGTACAGAAAGACAGACAGGTAGGTAGGGACACATGGTCCAGAGAGACAGACAGGTACATAGAGAGTAAGAAAAGTGAAAGACAGAGAGACAGGTTGGAGAGGGGACAGAGGTGAGGTTATATGTGGGGCGGGGTTAGACACACAGGTAAGGGGGTGGGGCAGTCAGACAGGTAAGGGGCGGAGTTAGGCAGACATGTTAGGTTCGGGGTTAGACACACAGGTAAGGGGGCGGGGCAGTCAGACAGGTAAGACGCGGGGTCAGAAGGATCAGTTTCAGTTTTTGAATGTTAAACAGGTAAAGATGAACCTGCAGCTCAGGTGATTCTGTTTCTTCCTCCCCTGTTTCTGTTTCATTTAATCTGTGATAAAATCTCCCTGAATGACATCATCACCAAAAAAAGGAAGCACATCAGGTAGTAAACAACTTCTCTTTACCTGTGATACCTGAGCATAGTAAATGCTGAGTGACATCACCCATCTGTTACTGCAGCGTGACTGTGACAGTCGCCATGATGGAAATGCTGTCTCAACCTAACTTTCCGTCAACCTAACAACAGGCTGAGAACTGGAGCTGAGGCGGGTTTTAAGCATCTTGACAAACCGTGAAATCAAGCCCACCCAACCAAAATCTATTTTTTGTTTCAGGCTGTAAACAAAACAGCATTTTGTTTGAATGGAGTTTGAATGTGACTTTCATGTCACTTGGAGCCGGCCTCAAGTGGACACATGAGGAACTGCAGCCAAGGTTTCTGCTTGTACCTGAGGTAAACCTACCTGAACCCAACTTTAATTAATCAGAGAAGGAGAACTGAGCTAAGGAGCAGACCAGAACCACATCAATCTGAGTTGACATAGAACAACACCCGAGGTTAACACTTCAGGTTCAGCTCTCGGCTTCAGGATGACCACGGTGAGCTAGCTGACCTGTAGCGCTCTATAATCTGAGAAGAAATATTTCCTGTTGCAGAGTCAAAGGTTTGTTTTTGTTTTTCTGGAGAAATGAAGAATGTCTCCGTTCCATTACAACATTATAGAATGGTCTCACCATGGTAACTAAATTATTCTCTATCTAAAAAAGAGGTGTAAATGTCCACTAATTCATGATAATGAAAACATTAAAGCTTCTTCATACAGTTACCTCAATGATTGAGTCCTTATGGTATGAAAATTCAGTGTGCGTTGTGTAGATTCATTGTGTGTTATTGTGTTGCTGTACCAGTCTGTGTCTGACTCCGTCTGTTCTTTGTGAGCCTCTCAGTCTCGTTGTTTTGTGTTCATAAAGATTCATTCATTCTTCAGTGTGGAGAAAATAAACGTCTGTTTCTGTGTTTCTAGCATAAACATCTTCCTTAACAACTCAAACCAAAGAGCTTCAATCTTAAACTGTAAAAATTATTCAGTTTATTAAACCACTTTCATTTCCCAGCTGCTCAGAGTCTAACCTTTGTGTACTCTGGTTTGTGTTAAAGAATGTTGAAAATTGTCCAGTGTCTTTTTCAAAACTGATTTTAATCAACTTCCAGCTTTTTTGTTCAGTCATGAAACAAAACAAATTCTAAATATGTGACTCATTTTTCAAACTTTACACAGGAAGCTGCAGGCGGAAACAGGAAGTCCACGTGTCAAGAAAGTTTATGGATAAAGAATAAATTTTTTCACATCAGAGCAATGAACAACTCCACAGTCTGAACAGACGACTCTACAGATGACTCTACAGTCTGAACAGACGACTCTACAGACGACTCTACAGTCTGAACAGACGACTCTACAGACGACTCTACAGTCTGAACAGACGACTCTACAGTCTGAACTGACGACTCTACAGACGACTCTACAGACTGAACGGAAGACTCTACAGTCTGAACGGACGACTCTACAGACGACTCTACAGACTGAACGGAAGACTCTACAGTCTGAACGGACGACTCTACAGACTGAACGGAAGACTCTACAGTCTGAACGGACGACTCTACAGACGACTCTACAGTCTGAACAGACGACTCTACAGACGTCTCTACAGTCTGAACGGACGACTCTACAGATGACTCTACAGTTTGAACGGACGACTCTACAGTCTGAACTGATGACTCTACAGACTGAACTGACGACTCTACAGTTTGAACTGACGACTCTACAGTCTGAACTGACGACTCTACAGACTGAACGGAAGACTCTACAGACGACTACAGTTTGAACGGATGACTCTACAGACTGAAAGGACGACTCTACAGACTAAAAGGACGACTCTACAGTCTGAACGGATGACTCTACAGACTGAAAGGACGACTCTACAGACTAAAAGGACGACTCTACAGTCTGAACGGAAGACTCTACAGTCTGAACTGACGACTCTACAGACTGAAAGGACGACTCTACAGTCTGAACGGACGACTCTACAGTCTGAACTGACGACTCTACAGATGACTCTACAGTCTGAACGGAGGACTCTACAGACGACTCTACAGTTTGAACGGACGACTCTACAGTCTGAACGGATGACTCTACAGTCTGAACGGACGACTCTACAGGCCACTCTACAGTCTGAACGGATGACTCTACAGTCTGAACGGACGCCTCTACAGGCGACTCTACAGTCTGAACGGACGACTCTACAGACTGAAAGGACGACTCTACAGTCTGAACGGACGACTCTACAGTCTGAACTGACGACTCTACAGATGACTCTACAGTCTGAACGGAGGACTCTACAGACGACTCTACAGTTTGAACGGACGACTCTACAGTCTGAACGGATGACTCTACAGTCTGAACAGACGACTCTATAGGCGACTCTACAGTCTGAACGGATGACTCTACAGTCTGAACGGACGACTCTACAGGCGACTCTACAGTCTGAACGGACGACTCTACAGGCGACTCTACAGTCTGAACGGATGACTCTACAGTCTGAACGGACGACTCTACAGGCGACTCTACAGTCTGAACGGATGACTCTAAAGTTTGAATGGACGACTCTACAGACGACTTTACAGTCTGAACTGACGACTCTACAGACGACTCTAAAGTCTGAACGAACGACTCTACAGACGACTTTACAGTCTGAACTGACGACTCTACAGACGACTTTACAGTCTGAACGGACAACTCTACAGTCTGGACTGACGACTCTACAGACGACTCTACAGTCTGAACGGACAACTCTACAGTCTGAACTGACGACTCTACAGACGACTCTACAGTCTGAACGGACAACTCTACAGTCTGACCGGACGACTCTACAGACTGAACAGACGACTCTACAGTCTGAACGGACGACTCTACAGTCTGAAAGGACGACTCTACAGACTGAACGGACGACTCTACAGACTGAACGGACGACTCTACAGTCTGGAAGGACGACTCTACAGACTGAACGGACGACTCTACAGACTGAACGGAAGACTCTACAGTCTGAACGGACGACTCTACAGACGACTCTACAGTCTGAACTCACGACTCTACAGACTGAATGGAAGACTCTACAGTCTGACCGGACGACTCTACAGACGACTTTACAGTCTGAACGGACGACTCTACAGTCTGAAAGGACGACTCTACAGACTGAAAGGACGACTCTACAGTCTGAAAGGACGACTCTACAGACTGAAAGGACGACTCTACAGTCTGAAAGGACGACTCTACAGTCTGAAAGGACGACTCTACAGTCTGAACGGACGACTCTACAGTCTGAAAGGACGACTCTACAGACTGAACGGACGACTCTACAGAATGAACGGACGACTCTACAGAATGAACGGACGACTCTACAGACTGCTGCTTACGTGATGCAAAAAAGTAACAACAGACATGTTTGCTGTGTGTGTGTGTGTGTGTGTGTGTGTGTGTGTGTGTGTGCGTCTGTGTGTTCGTACCAGTCGGCGTATCTCTCTCTCACAGTCTCTCTTGGTTCGGTTCAGCTCCTCCTGGTGTTGGTGATGAGCAGATCGGAGCTGACGACTCTACAGACGACTCTACAGACTGAACGGAAGACTCTACAGTCTGAACAGACGACTCTACAGACGACTCTACAGACTGAACGGAAGACTCTACAGTCTGAACGGACGACTCTACAGACTGAACGGAAGACTCTACAGTCTGAACGGACGACTCTACAGACTGAACGGAAGACTCTACAGTCTGAACGGACGACTCTACAGACGACTCTACAGTCTGAACAGACGACTCTACAGACGTCTCTACAGTCTGAACGGACGACTCTACAGATGACTCTACAGTTTGAACGGACGACTCTACAGTCTGAACTGATGACTCTACAGACTGAACTGACGACTCTACAGTTTGAACTGACGACTCTACAGTCTGAACTGACGACTCTACAGACTGAATGGAAGACTCTACAGACGACTACAGTTTGAACGGATGACTCTACAGACTGAAAGGACGACTCTACAGACTAAAAGGACGACTCTACAGTCTGAACGGATGACTCTACAGACTGAAAGGACGACTCTACAGACTAAAAGGACGACTCTACAGTCTGAACGGAAGACTCTACAGTCTGAACGGACGACTCTACAGACTGAAAGGACGACTCTACAGTCTGAACGGACGACTCTACAGTCTGAACTGACGACTCTACAGATGACTCTACAGTCTGAACGGAGGACTCTACAGACGACTCTACAGTTTGAACGGACGACTCTACAGTCTGAACGGATGACTCTACAGTCTGAACGGACGACTCTACAGGCCACTCTACAGTCTGAACGGATGACTCTACAGTCTGAACGGACGCCTCTACAGGCGACTCTACAGTCTGAACGGACGACTCTACAGACTGAAAGGACGACTCTACAGTCTGAACGGACGACTCTACAGTCTGAACTGACGACTCTACAGATGACTCTACAGTCTGAACGGAGGACTCTACAGACGACTCTACAGTTTGAACGGACGACTCTACAGTCTGAACGGATGACTCTACAGTCTGAACAGACGACTCTATAGGCGACTCTACAGTCTGAACGGATGACTCTACAGTCTGAACGGACGACTCTACAGGCGACTCTACAGTCTGAACGGACGACTCTACAGGCGACTCTACAGTCTGAACGGATGACTCTACAGTCTGAACGGACGACTCTACAGGCGACTCTACAGTCTGAACGGATGACTCTAAAGTTTGAACGGACGACTCTACAGACGACTTTACAGTCTGAACTGACGACTCTACAGACGACTCTAAAGTCTGAACGAACGACTCTACAGACGACTTTACAGTCTGAACTGACGACTCTACAGACGACTTTACAGTCTGAACGGACAACTCTACAGTCTGAACTGACGACTCTACAGACGACTCTACAGTCTGAACGGACAACTCTACAGTCTGAACTGACGACTCTACAGACGACTCTACAGTCTGAACGGACAACTCTACAGTCTGACCGGACGACTCTACAGACTGAACAGACGACTCTACAGTCTGAACGGACGACTCTACAGTCTGAAAGGACGACTCTACAGACTGAACGGACGACTCTACAGACTGAACGGACGACTCTACAGTCTGGAAGGACGACTCTACAGACTGAACGGACGACTCTACAGACTGAACGGAAGACTCTACAGTCTGAACGGACGACTCTACAGACGACTCTACAGTCTGAACTCACGACTCTACAGACTGAATGGAAGACTCTACAGTCTGACCGGACGACTCTACAGACGACTTTACAGTCTGAACGGACGACTCTACAGTCTGAAAGGACGACTCTACAGACTGAAAGGACGACTCTACAGTCTGAAAGGACGACTCTACAGACTGAAAGGACGACTCTACAGTCTGAAAGGACGACTCTACAGTCTGAAAGGACGACTCTACAGTCTGAACGGACGACTCTACAGTCTGAAAGGACGACTCTACAGACTGAACGGACGACTCTACAGAATGAACGGACGACTCTACAGAATGAACGGACGACTCTACAGACTGCTGCTTACGTGATGCAAAAAAGTAACAACAGACATGTTTGCTGTGTGTGTGTGTGTGTGTGTGTGTGTGTGTGTGTGTGTGCGTCTGTGTGTTCGTACCAGTCGGCGTATCTCTCTCTCACAGTCTCTCTTGGTTCGGTTCAGCTCCTCCTGGTGTTGGTGATGAGCAGATCGGAGCTCGGCTGCTCTGGCCTGGCTGGCCTGTTGAGCAGCTGTCAGAGCTTCCTCAGCACTCCGTTTTGCTCCTCGCAGCTCCTGCCCCTCCTGCTGGAGGCGACAGCGCTCTGCCTCCCAGCTCCGCCTTGCCTCCTCCACCTCTGCTAGCAAAGCGCTCCGCACCTGAACAACCACAGAACACAGTGTCACCTGAGGGAGAGGGGACTTAATTACCCCTCACACCTGAGGATGTGCAGCCTAATACCCCAACGGACCTGATGAGAAAGAGCTTAATTACCCCTCAACACCTGAGGAGGAGGGGCTTAATTAACCCTCACACCTGAGGAGGAGTTTAATTAACCCTCACACCTGAGGAGAAAGAGCTTAATTACCCCTCACACCTGATGATGTGCAGCCTAATACCCCAACGGACCTGAGGAGAAAGAGCTTAATTACCCCTCAACACCTGAGGAGGAGGGGCTTAATTAACCCTCACACCTGAGGAGGAGGAGCTTAATTACCCCTCAACACCTGAGGAGGAGGGGCTTAATTAACCCTCACACCTGAGGAGGAGGGACTTAATTAACCCTCACACCTGAGGAGAAAGAGCTTAATTACCCCTCAACACCTGAGGAGGAGGGGCTTAATTAACCCTCACACCTGAGGAGGAGGGACTTAATTAACCCTCACACCTGAGGAGGAGGAGCTTAATTACCTCTCAACACCTGAGGAGGAGCTTAATTACCCCTCTCACCTGAGGAGGAGGGGCTTAATAGCCTTCACACCTGAGGAGGAGGAGCTTAATTACCTCCCAACACCTGAGGAGGAGGAGCTTAATTACCCCTCTCACCTGAGGAGGAGGGGCTTAATAGCCTTCACACCTGAGGAGGAGCTTAATTAACCCTCACACCTGAGGAGAAAGAGCTTAATTACCCCTCACACCTGATGATGTGCAGCCTAATACCCCAACGGACCTGAGGAGGAGGGGCTTAATTAACCCTCACACCTGAGGAGGAGCTTAATTAACCCTCACACCTGAGGAGAAAGAGCTTAATTACCCCTCAACACCTGAGGAGGAGGGGCTTAATTAACCCTCACACCTGAGGAGGAGGGGCTTAATTAACCCTCACACCTGAGGAGGAGGAGCCTAATTACCTCTCAACACCTGAGGAGGAGGAGCTTAATTACCCCTCTCACCTGAGGAGGAGGGGCTTAATAGCCTTCACACCTGAGGAGGAGGAGCTTAATTACTCCGCTCACCTGAGGAGGAGGGGCTTAATTAACCCTCACACCTGAGGAGGAGGGGCTTAATAGCCTTCACACCTGAGGAGGAGGGGCTTAATTACCCCTCACACCTGGGGGGTGGTGGCTCACCTTGTCGGTGGATCCGTCTCTCAGCGTCAGCACGAGTCCGTTCAGACGTTGTATCTCGCCGTCTTTGATCTTGATGACCCTCATTAGCTCCATCTCGTGTTGCCGAAGTAACGTCTCCCTGGTTACGGCAAGCTCCTTCTGCTTCTCCTCGTGGAGTTTGGTCTTCAGCTCCGTCACGGCGACGGTCGCTCGGTGATGCTCCGCCTTCAACTCCTGGCTCTTCTCTCTCTCCAGGCGGCTCACCTGAGGACACGCAGGACTCTGAGTACAGCAGAGCTTCTTTAAACAGACACAAATAGGAATGGGATTTGTAGTTCTTACCTTGTTTTTCTCTTGTTGTAGTTCTATTTGGATATCTGTCAGTTTGGCTCTTAGCTCCTCGTTGGCTGCTTGAAGGGTTGCCATGGCATCAGGTCGCTCCCCCTTTCCCCGCGCCCCCGCCCCTCGCTTTGACATCACCTCCACCTGCAGGCTCCGCCCCTTAATGACCTGTCTGTCGATCAGAGGGTGGACTACATCCGGACCTGTCAGAGATACAGACACAATGTAAACAGTGACCATCATCTTCATCACCGTGTTCACCATCAGAACTTCATCTTCCGGTTGTCACGACAGTAATGATCGTGAAGATAGTAAGTAGTGTGATTACTAGTATCCAGGCTTTGGAGGGTTAGTAGTTAGTTGGTGAGTTAGTTGGCAACTTCCTGATCACCTGAAACCGATGACACGTGAAACACACAGGTAACCGATATTAACCAACAGCCGTACATGCAAACACCATCCAACATGCAGCACACACACAAACACACACACACACACACACCCACATTTGGCTTTACTGAACACACACACACACACACAGATGTAGATCACTCACCGTCCAATAGAAAGCTTTGGACACTGCATCGCTTTGTGTGTTAGTGTGTGTGTGTCTATGTGTGTGTGTCTGTAGGCTAGCCTCTTGTCCTAAGCATGCTAACCAGTTAGCCTCACTGCAGCTCACTGAGTGTGTGTGTGTGTGTTTGTGTGTGTGTGTGTGTGAGTGTGTGAGTGTGAGTGTGATGACAGCCTCAGCCTCCACCTGTCTCACTGCCTCTCTCTCTCTGATTACCTGTCTCTCTCTCTCTCTCTCTCCCAGTGTGTGTATGTGTGTGTGTCAGCAGTTAGCTGCTGTCAGTATGTGTGTGTAAGTTTGTGTATGTGTGATTCGGTGCTGTTAGCATCTCTGCAGCCTCTACTGCCGTCATCCTCCTCCTCCTCTTCCTCCTCCCAGCATCCTTCAGTGTGACACAGAGCTGCAGCACAGAGCTCCACCGCCATCTGCTGGACGATCCCTGTCATTACACCTTCACCATTAAATCATTATTAACACCTTTATCACCATTGTAATTATAATTATATCATCATCATCCTCACCATTACCACCATTATGATTATTATCAAACTTTAATCATACCTTAAAACCTCTCCGACAGGTGAGTTTAAGTTGTTCACATGATGAATAAAATAAATAAATAAACTCTAAACTCTATTCTCAAATGTAAAGATAAAAACTGACCTCAGATCAGATGACGTCACACTATCACCTGATTTATACATCTGTATGAATCACCAGGGTCAGAGCTCAGGTGAGGATGGATTATGGGTTTTGTAGTCCATCAGATGTTGTAGTTTGATGTTGATGCCCCCCTCATCGTGTTACAGCAGAGGATCAGAAACAGCTGCAGTGATCGTACTCAGCCCCCAGGTGTCAGTATGCACCTGGATTCAAACCCCCCCCCCTCAGCACGAGCAGACAGGAAGTGCGAGGAGCAGATGAAAGCTGCCTCCTGATGTTCGACAACACATCTTATATCGATAAAATATTTTTACTTCAAACAAAACAAGGAGATATAAAGAATAAATGTCCCTTCAAAATAAAGGTCAGGGATAATTTACAGAACATAAACATTTAAACTTTAAAATATGATGTAAAGACAGAACGTACTGATGGTTGAGTGTGTGGGGAACTATATAAAAATATTCATTTGAATAAAGTTGATTGAATTTAAATTGAGCGACAGAGACAGACAAAGAGAGCGAGCTTTGTGAGAAGGATTTTAAATCATATTCTCGATTTAAAGCTGAAAGTTTAATGTACCCGGTTCAGACTCGATTTTTGAGTAGTACAGTTTTTAAGTGAAGCCATATTTCAGCCCGAACATGCAGAGTCAGTGTGCAGTGTACACTGACACACACAAAGGTGATCAGCTGATCCTGATGGGTCGGATGATTTCCTGACCTGTTTGATATTTTGGTCGTAAGACTGCACACACTCGCACGGTGAGAGCAGAGCCATGAGGCCATTCCCAAACTCCTGTCTCACATTCCCATGGGAGCAGTCGAGTCAAACGCCTCTCTGTCTCCGCTGGTCAAAGTATTGCCGCGTGTCATTGCCCTCTCTCTCTCCCTGATATACCCCCCCCCCCCCCCCACCCAATAAAAAGAGAAAAAATCCAACTTAGAGGTAACAAACACCTGGACTTGTTTTCCTGCATCGCTTTCAGACAGAATGTGTCTGATGTTATACTGCAGACAGCGTGTGTGTGTGTGTGTGTGTGTGTGTGTGTGTGTGTGTGTGTGTGTGTGTGTGTGTGTGTGTGTTTGTGTTTGGCAAATTTCCCATAATTGTTTTCCTCTGACCTGACCTCTAGTTACCATAGCAACAGACACAGAACAGCTTGCTGCTGAATCACACATAGAGAGAGAGAGAGAGAGAGAGAGAGAGAGAGAGAGAGAGAGAGAGAGAGAGAGAGAGACAACCTGAGCATGCAGGTTGAAGAAACACAACCTGAACTTTTCAGGGCCGTCTCCGTCTGTGTGATGGTTGGTGATGTCATCACCACTGCACTGCATTGTGGGATATATTTAGATAATATGATCACATTTGTCAGGAGTTTGTCAAGAATCTGCCTATCAGTGAGGTTTAGCTACATCTCATCAGTAAAGTCACATCAATATAAAACATGAGGTATTATTTTAATGTTTTATCATATTGAATATTATGTCATGCTAACACATTAGCCCATTAGCTTCAGGTCTACACCTGTGACCATCACGTTCAGGTGTAAACGGTCATGATAAGACAGGAAGTGAATCTGTAAACAACATCAACAAAGAAAAGTTTGTGGAAAGTTTTTAATTTAAAACACGTCATGAACAACAGCCAATGAAAACTCATAACACAACACAGCCATCGTCCAATAAGAAGTCAGGACACTGAGAAACATCCAATCGTAACAGGGAAACAAATTCTGTCCAATCACAGCTTATCGTGACGCTGAAAGACGAGGGGGCGGGGCTTACATCACAGCAACATGTTTGTTCAGAGCATCATTATGAAATAAAAACATCACACTAAAGACATGAAGAGGAACAAGTTCAGTCTGTATGCATCACGGATCGGGTGTACAGGAGGAGGGGGCGTGGCTTGGCTGGACCAATCAGATCATCAGGTCAGAGTGAGCAGGTAAACGAGATTCTGTATGAACATTCTGCTTTATGTTCCTCCTGTTCTCTGATGGAACAGAAGCCAACTCCATCTCCCAGAATGCATTTCACCAACACACATCCAAGCACACTCACAAAACTAACAGAAATACTTTTCAACCAATCAGGAGAGACCTGTTTACAAACACATTTAAACAAATCAGATCAGTTTATAGAGTGTGATTGATCCAGACAGACAGACAGACATGGGGTTTTTTTTGTGCTCAGTTTAACTTGGCGTACTTCTTGAAGGTCTACCTCAGGTCCAGGTCCAGGTTCAGGTCTGGACCAGTTCAGAAGATGAGATGGAATAGAGGGTATGCAAAAAACTTCACTTTGTTATCACTTCTGAATGTTTTGACACTTGTAACAGTGCATAGCCTCTGCTGATCCTGGTCCCAGTCTGATCCTGGTCCCAGTCTGATCCTGGTCCCAGTCTGATCCTGGTCCCTGGACGTCTCTTTCTCCTGCTGACACAGAACCAGCAGCTCGTTGTTCTGGAAGGTCCTTGAGGGTTACTTTAAATGCTTCCCGAAAATGTTTTTAAAAGTTGTTTTTGTTTATTTGTGTGTGAAGGTTTTGGAAGTTCCTGGTCGAGGTCCATCAGTTCTGCTCTGGAAGGATCTGTGAGGTCCTGGGACGGGTTCTCATCTCATCTTCCTCAGTCTGACTCGGTTCTCTTTGTCTCGCTTCTTTAAGGATGTGATGTAATGCTGAAAGAGGACTTCCTGTTCCTTCTTCCTGTTGAGGGCGTTAAAGCGCTGGTCTCCATGGTAACGCGCACAGAACGCCTTGAAGGTGGATCTGCAGAGAACCAGAGTGATATATTAATCATATTATTTTTGATCGGCTCCAGCACTCATCAACGTGAGTGTTAATCTGTTTTCATCATGCTTCACTGTGATTGGCTAAGCCAGTGCAGAGCTTGGATGTGATTGGCTGATAGAAGTATGTTTTTTGTAATGTTAAGTTTTTGTTTGTTAATTGTTTTTTTTCATCACCTACAAGCATCCATCTCGTTGTCATCTCTAAATTCTGGACCAGGTGGGGGTCAGGTGTTACAGGTAGACTTAGGTGGACTGAGTTAGACACACAGGTGATGTTACAGGTGATGTTACCTGCTGGTGATACTACAGGTGATGTTACCTACAGGTGATGTTACCTACAGGTGATGTTACCTGCTGGTGATACTACAAGTGATGTTACCTGCAGGTGATACTACAGGTGATGTTACCTGCAGGTGATACTACAGGTGATGTTACCTGCAGGTGATGTTACCTGCAGGTGATACTACAGGTGATGTTACCTACAGGTGATGTTACCTGCAGGTGATACTACAGGTGATGTTACCTGCAGGTGATGTTACCTGCAGGTGATACTACAGGTGATGTTACCTGCAGGTGATACTGCAGGTGATACTACAGGTGATGTTACCTGCAGGTGATACTACAGGTGATGTTACCTGCAGGTGATGTTACCTCCAGGTGATACTACAGGTGATGTTACCTGCAGGTGATACTACAGGTGATGTTACCTGCAGGTGATACTACAGGTGATGTTACCTGCAGGTGATACTACAGGTGATGTTACCTGCAGGTTATACTACAGGTGATGTTACCTGCAGGTGATACTACAGGTGATGTTACCTGCAGGTGATACTACAGGTGATGTTACCTGCAGGTGATGTTACCTGCAGGTGATACTACAGGTGATGTTACCTGCAGGTGATACTACAGGTGATGTTACCTCCAGGTGATACTACAGGTGATGTTACCTGCAGGTGATACTACAGGTGATGTTACCTCCAGGTGATACTACAGGTGATGCTACCTGCAGGTGATACTACAGGTGATATTACCTGCAGGTGATACTACAGGTGATGTTACCTGCAGGTGATACTACAGGTGATGTTACCTGCAGGTGATACTACAGGTGATGTTACCTGCAGGTGATACTACAGGTGATATTACCTGCAGGGGATACTACAGGTGATGTTACCTGCAGGTGATACTACAGGTGATGTTACCTGCTGGTGATCTTGGCCTCCTCCAGCAGCTGTTTGAACTCCTCTCTCGCTTTCTGCAGTTTATTCTTCTTCTCTTTGTACTCGTCCTTTAGCCTGCTCTTCACAAACACATCAAAGACCTGCATGAGCGCACACACACACACACACACACACACACACACACACACACACACACACACACACACACACACACAGAGTTAGAAAAATGATTAAATAATAAAGTTAATGAACTATATTAAACTAAACTGTTAATAACGATCATAATGATGAACCTGTTTCCTCTGATCCGAGGTCAGCAGCAGGTATCGAGGGTCGAACACCATCTTGTGGAGCTCCTTCTCATAGGTGGAGAACGCTGACACCTGAGGACACACAAACACACACACACACACACACACACACACAAAGACAGACTCAGGGGTCTCACACACACACAAACATGTTTTTAGCTGTTTGTTCCATCAGCAGCATGTTTGCAAATGCTCCCAAACTTTAACTCCTCCCACTTCATGATGTCATCATCAGGTAACAACTTCACCTGTGAACATCTGTCAGCTTCACTCTGTGTGTGAGTGTGTGTGTGTGTGGGGTGTGTTACCCCTCTCTCCAGCATCATCTCTCTGAAATGAGCCACTCGGAGTTCCAGGGGGAGGAGCTTAACTTCTCCTGGATGAGGGACGAGGGACATCTGCTTCTCGACTCTAGAGAGAGAGAGAGAGAGAGAGAGAGAGAGAGTGCTGAACTTGGGATTTTACCAATCACATCGCTCTGTGATGATGACAGTCAAGTTGGGGAACAAAAATTATTTATTTGAACTAAAGATAAAAAGTTCAAACAAGCTGACTCAGAATAAATCCAATTGAAGACAAAAGGTCCAAACGAGCCGAGAAGACGAATGACCAACTGACAAACAAAATGGAGACGGGCTGACTACTGGTGCGTTCCATTTGATGTTGGAAACCAGAGATTACCAAGATGCCAGTTGGACACATTGCCCAGACCCTATGAAATCGGACCTCCAACTCTGACACTCGTAGGGATCTTCAGTAATCCTGAGCTAGAAATCCAAGATGGCCGCCCCGTGCATCAACAGGAAGTCAAAGCTGTACATCACAGAGTTCATCCGTCTTGTTTTTGTGTAATTAAATCAATCAAACCGATAGAGGTTTCTCTCTGATCTCTACGCACTCAGGCAGTACTCAGGAAGTAGCCTGGCACCTCTCCAGCAACCAGACCAACCCCCATACTGTGGTCCATATCTGGAATTGACCCGGTGACCCTCCAGTCCCCTACAGACTGAGCTACTGCTGACCCAGACCGGTGAAGAGTCCACGGTGCAAGCAATAAAATCCAAAAGCAAATAACAAGGTCCAACTAAAGTCCAAACACAGCAAGAAATCGAGACAGAGCAAGGGGTGAAGTCCCCCCAGGAGTAAAAGGGAAATCAACACAAGAAACACAGGAAGAAAGACGAGAAATCAGAATGAGGAGGAGGGTGAAGGTTTGACAGCAGACGTACAAAGAAAGGAAGGCACACACACTCAAAAATCAGAGGGTGAGCAAACACAGCTAACAAGAAATAAGTTAAAACAAAGAGGACAGGAAGTTTAACCAGCTATGACACAAGGGGCAAGAACTACCAAATAAAACAGGGAACACAAAGTACAAACACAAGCATCATAAGGATCATAAGCCCATTAAACCTTTTGGCCTTGTCTCCGTTCTGCTCTCTGATTGACTCAGTCAGACTCACCTGTTTCTTTTGGAGTCATGTTGATGTTCATCGTCTTCACCGTTACCATGGAGATCAGACGATTGACAGCCGCAGCCATCTGTTAGAGGTGGATGACAGACAGGTAAAACTCTCTGGAGGAACACTCTGATGTTTGGAGGTTTGTGATGTTGAAAGACAGTCGGAGTATTTTTCTTTATATTTAAATCTAGAGTAGAGTTTTAAATCCTTCTTGTCACTTACAAAGCTCTTCACTGTCAGACATCTACCAGTCAGGGTCCAGGGACAGACACCCTCTGTACTTTTAAAATCATTTTCACATGACGCACGATCGCTTCCCCCTCCCCTCCCCTCCCCCCGCTGGTCTGCGTCGACATTAATAACACCATTCTGTACCCGAGTACACCTGTGTCTGTACTCAGTCTGATACAGCAGGTAGCAGTATGCACATATCGGGTTTGTAAATCCGCCAAAAAGCAAAAAAGAAGTAGTAACCATGGCAACCACTCACAGACTGAGTCCATCCTGCTAACTGTGGATGTTGCTGTTTAGAATTAAGTACTGTAGCGGTTCACTTCCTTGTTTGAGCACGATTGTGTTCACATCTCCCGCGGACTGTAATCGAGTACTCATGAATCGTGCCCGAGACCACCTCTTCAAGCAGACTCGAGCATGGTACCTGAGTACAGTGCATTTGTGTTCACACTGATCAAATGAACCAAACTATGGGGGTCAAGTGTACTCAGATCCGGGTCCCTAGTGTGAAACCATCCTAAGAGTATGATTAAAACTTTCCTTTTTTGATCAAGCTCATAGTTAGGGCTCAAGCTTAGACCAGCTCCTAGTTTTGCTGCTATAGGCTCAGACTGCAGCATGAACGTCCATCCAGTCTCAGCAGAATATCTGTTCTCTAATCAGTCCGGTTCGGTTCAAGGTTTCTGCCCATTAAAGACGTTTTTCTGTCTCATGTTGGATTCAAGAGCACACTCTAAACCTTCTCTTTAAAGAGTCCTCACATTACTTCAGTTAGGATCAGTGTTAGGAGTGAACGCGTAACTGTAACTCCACAACGATCTGCAGTGACTAGTCAAGAATGTAGTTCATTTTCAAAATCAAAAACGGCATCACAATTACAGAAATTTAAAAAAGCAACTGATCTGCATAGTCCCTCTGCACCTTTAAGAAAAAGCTAAAGACCCAGCTCTTTCATGAATACCTACTAACTTAATGATGATGGTCTCCATATTATTGATGATGATGATGGTAATGACGATGGTTTTTGTTTGATAACGACGACTTATAAGATGGTTTCTATACTGATTAGAGCTCTCAAGAACTGCCCTCAATGTTGTGCTTTGCCTCTGGTCACTTCCTGTCAGCACCTGTGTGTCCAATCAGACTCAAAGCTGATCGTTTGCTCTTACTCACATTGTTCCCTATTTTCTAGATCCTTGCTTGTGTTGTTCTTACTCTCTGACGTACATCGCTCTGGATAAAAGAGTCTGATAAGTGAATTGTAGAATTTTAGAACTTGGATGGCCGACAACAACAAAAGATTTAGGATTATTTACAACGATTAGGTGGACAAAGCTACGCTAACATTAGCATCCTGAAGGAAAGAATATCACACAGGCTGAAGATCGATCAGATGGAAGCTTCCTGTCTTTGAAATACCAACATGACTTTTTCCTGCTCTGTAGTCTATGCAGAGGAAAGAGAACTTTGTCCAGCGACATGAATATTAATTCTTATCTCACTAAGCACCGAGCTGAACAACACGCCTCTGCTAAACTAGCTGTCAGAGCGCCCGGTGCTGCAAACAACAGAGACCCTGGTTACAGCTCAGTGTTTGCACGGCAGACTAAGAAGGATACACTCCATCCAAACAGACGAGACTTGAATTTAAATCACCGCCAGCAAAATGATCTGTGAGTCAGGACTAAACAGTCAGGTGTGTTGTCGACAACATTCTTCATATCAACTGTTAAGTCTGTTGCCTTCAGAGAACAAAAAAGCTAAATACCTACAAACAGAAAATGGCTAAATGAGTTGTTTCCTCTCATGCTGCCACAGCAACACTTCAGTCAGACAGCTCACGTTTGTATCTCTAAATTATTTATTGCAGCAGAATAAGTTTGTGTTTGCCATCTACTCTCCGACCTCATCACTCCTCAGTTTTAATTTACATGCAGAAGTTTGAGGAGTGATGCAATGATTTCTTAAACCCCTCAGTCGAAGCCGACAGGTGGTTGGTGGGGTTGAGTAAGAGTGCAGAGATGGTGCAGGTCAGAGCTGGCGATGAAATCTTGCAGCTTAAATAGAGCGCTAATTGGAAGGAGGTGTTGTCAGGTGATTGTTGAGAATGAGGTCGAGTGTGAATGATGATGAGTGGGGCGGGGTAAACAGAGACGTGGATGTTAGCAGCACTAGCTTGGTTAGCTTCTGTCACGGCTGAAACTTAAACATACAGAGCTTTTATTTTGAGGTTGCAAACTTCATTCTTCCTGTTTCCTGCTCCAAAAAAAAAAAAAAGTAAATGTTGTTACTCTGTTGATGTTTACGAAATATTTATAAATATAAGAATCATTTTGTTTGTCAAAGCTTAACCTTAAATCCTCCTGAACTTAACAAAATGAAAGTCTTTATTTGCTGTGAAGAGAATTTGAGGATGATGATGATGGTTGCGTGTGAACATGACAAGGTGAAGTGACAGACCTTCAGGTGTCGTCCTCTTCCTCTTGTGGGGCGGGTCCTCGATGATGCTGCTGATGTCTCGTCCAATCAGCTCCCCGGGTCTTTCCCACACAGAGAGGTGGATTGTGGGATTGAAGAAGAAGATGCGGTCGTCTCCGGTCCACACTACACACCTGAACACACACACACACACACAGACACATATCATACAATCACACACATTTTATAGACACACCTCAATGTTTGCCCCTACCCAGCTGTGCTAAGCTAATATACCAAACTGGCAGACATAGAACCAGACCCAGAGTGCACCTGGGATCAGAGTCTAACCCTGAAAAGAGGGACATTTATTTACTGTGTTAAGTGTTTGTGTGCGTGTGTGTGTGTGTGTGGGTGCGTGTTTAATTGTGTGAGACAGAGCAGTTACCATGGCGACCCCGGGACAGGAGTGGAGGCGACAGGAAGTTTGTCTTTTCTTCCCTTCTCACTTTCCTCCTCCTCTTCCTCCTCTTCTCTGTCTGCAGACACACACTGCAGACAGACACACACACACACACACACACACACACACACACACACACACACACACACACACACACACACACACACACACACACACACACACACACACACACACACACAAGTTTGTTTGTGGTGTCTCACACTTTTCAATACAGGTAACAAAATGCTTCACGACAGGACAATGAAAGCAAACACATTAAAAGCAAAGAGACGATAAAAGCAGACAAGCAGTATAAGAGATTAAAAATAAAAAAGGAAATCACAGAGTAAAAGCTTTTTTCTTTGCAAAAGACTGTCTTATGCAGAGAAATAAAAACGCACTCTGCAAGTCTGATCTCCTCTGACAGGCCGTTCGAAAGTCTGGAGGCTCTGACAGAAAAAGCCCTGTCCCCTCTGGTTTTTCAGCCTGGACCTGGGAACAGAGCTCTAACAGAGGATGTCAGACTGCGTCCTGGTTCATGGGGGGGGGGGGGGGGGAGGGCCTGCCGATGTTGTGCCTCAAACGTAATTAAAATAATCTTAAAATCTATCCTAAATCATCAGGCAGCTGGTGTAGAGATGCAACATTTGGGGTGATATCGGCACATTTTTTCATTCTGGTTAGAAGGCGAGCTGCTTCTTTGGACTCTTTGAAGGTGCTGGATTGATTTTTGGCTGAGACAGGTGCACAGCTAGTCGCAGTAGTCGATGCTGGAGGAAAAATTAAAGTGCGGATGAGTTTCTCCAGATCTTTCGCTGTCGTGAGGAATTTGACCTTGGCTGTATTTCTGAGCTGATATAAACAGGACTGGACAACCTTCTCCACCTGCAGCTCCAAACACAAAAAGTCTATCGTCAAAGAAAACACTAAGGTTTGTGGCTGAGGGCTTCACCTACAGAAATTAGCAAGTTCTCCTCGGTGTGTCATGATTTAAGATTGGAGGGCCGATGACAATAACTTCAGATTTTGCGTCATTAAGTTCTAGAAAGTTCTCTGACATCAAAGGTCCTTGAGGAGAGTAGCTGTATTTGACTGTCGCCAGGTGTAATCGGGAGGTAAAGTAGTGTGTCATCGGCATAACAGTGAAAATGGACATTATAATGATCATCTGATATCACCATGGCAACAATTCATGATCAATCTCACCTGTTTGTTGTCGTCCATTGTTCTCTTTGTCCTCAGAGGAAACGCTGCAGAAACTTTAAATCTGCCCATCCCCCGCTTCTCTGGCAGAGACAATAAAACTTTATTAATAATTCTCCATAATGACATGTTTATTTTATTTCAGTACTTTCTGTCTGCGGTTCAATAAGACACACACTCGTTCCTCCTCCTTGTTGTTTTCATTAACGGACAGACAGAGCATTGTCCCTCTGCAGCCGCTAGCATTCCTGTTAGCATTTCTGCTAACCAACAGGAAGTGGACAGAGTTTATGCTTTCAGCAAAGAGACAGAAAACAACAATCCCCAATAATCAGGGGTGAGTCCAGAGGGGAGGCAAAGGGCCCACCTTGAAAATGAATTGGCCAAAAGATGATTGGCTATTTGCCTTATCAGAGGTGGGACTTAAGTTAAAATTAACTATTCTGGCTGTTTCAACAGACTAATGGTAGGACAGTCAGTTGTAAAAAAACACTTTGCTCTTTCCATAAATATTCCCCAGTGCACACTGTCTAACTTGAAATGGAATTAATTGCCAATTAAGGTATTTTGGATGTTAGAAGAGTGTAAGAGTTTGCAATTTTCCCGCTTGATCAGGACCAATGAATAAATATGTAAACTGTAGTGGTGGTTGTGCTTTCTCCTTTTTCTTCTTTTTCTGCACACTCGACAATCAGCCTCTTCTCTGTAGTTACTAGAAACCCATTTTGCCCCACATATCGCAGAAGTTAGCGGACCAGATGTTTACACTTGTTCTATTTTTGTTCCATTTTTTCCTCACGCTGCATCTACTCTGAAGTCCTCTGTCTTTGGGAAGTGAAGACGCAGATTTAGTCTGTGTTGTGTATCCTGACAGGTCTGATCCGTCAGAGACATCTGGAGCTTTTTTACTCTACGACACACTTCAGAGTGGTTACACACACAAACACCAGGTCAGAAACATCATGCATCTGTGTGTGTGTGTGTGTGTGTGTGTGTGTGTGTGTGTGTGTGTGTGAGAGATAGACTCTTCAGATGTTATAATCTCTGTGGTTATGTTTGATGTTCCTCTGAGTATCTCTGACAGTAAAAATGTTCAGCTAAAGAAAAACAGACGATAACATGACAGATCGGGATAACTCTGATCCTCGGAGAGAAGGCGTTGTGACAGCAGACACATGGTCATGTGACTGTGATGTCAGAAACCATCAGAGACTGATGTCAGATTAGAGCGTTGAACTGCAGACTCACAGGAGGTCTCTGTTTTTCAAGATTCTTTGGTAAATGTGAGTATTCACACTTTAAATGATGCTTCTTCACTCTGACAGAATCTGACTCACACTATCAGCAAACAGCAGCACACACATAATCTTCCTTATTAAAACCTGCTGCCTCTATTACCCACAATGCAATGGAACCACCAACAGTAAGATGTGAAGCCTGATGTGTTCAACCTACACAGAGCGGTGAATATTTGTTCTTGTGTGCTGCTGGTGTTTATGCCGATCAGTCTTAGCTCAAACATGTTCATCGAGCTGCATGTGGAAGCTAACAGGCTGTAGCAGCTAGGTGTAACTTTGTAACTCCTTCAGAGATAGTAACAGAGGTGTTACAGGGGCAAGACAGGATAGGTGGAGCCAGCGGGGGAGAACAGTGCTGTGTGTGTGCATATCTGGGACACCAATATTAAGCTGTTGTTGAATCATGAAAAGTACAAAGACGTAATAAAGGCAGGGCTGTGTTATGGCACTTTTGCAGAATCGCACTCTGAGAGGGGTTAAAGGGTCAGTATGACAGACTAGTAATAGTCCATTATAGAAAGACTTGTATAGAGGCTACAAGACAACGACAAGAGTTCACAGAGTTCTCAGAGGAATAATGTTTGTGATTCTGGTGTTTATGCTAGTAGCAATAAACCTAGCTTAACGCCTCTAGGTGGAGCAGCTACTGGAAAAAGTTTTGTTTATTTCAAACTCCAACCAATGCTCAAGTGATTTCACACAGCTCATCTTGAGACACAAAAGGTCTGTTTTTTTGGAAGCACTATCACCTGAAGTCAAACACTTGGAAAGACCTGGTAAAACATTAAGGATTAAAACATTTTGAAAAGGAGCACTCTCAACCGTAATAACATTTTCAGTCGCACGGCCGTAAAGAGGCCGTTTAGAGACAGAAAAGTGAGCACACTAAACGCTGATGAAGGCCTTGTGCTGAAAAGCGTCTGTTGTTGATCTGCACACTGCTGCTCTACCCAGATAAAACATATTTTGAAGGACATTTAGTGTGCTGACTTTTCTGTCTCTTTGCAACACATTAAGGTTTGACATTATTTTGAGTGGTTATTGACGTCAGAGAGTCAGAATTGAATATTTACTGTGTCTGTAGTCGCTCAGCAGAGAGAGTCTGGATGAAAACTCTGAAGAGAAGAAAGAAGGAGGAATTTCCATCACCTGAAATAAGAGAGAGATTGTGTATTTAAGACAGAAGGACAGAAAGACAGACAGAAACTTTAAAAGACAAGCAGACTCACCTGAAACGGGAAGACAGGCCATCTGTCCATGCTGAGCAAAAAGGGGGAGACAGGTCGGTTCAAAAAGTGCTGTAAGAGAGTGAGACAGGCAGAGAGAAAGGTTATCTTCGACATGTCACTTCAGTTCAGTCAGTGTGAACACCTGAATGGACCTGTCTTACCATCTATCTCTTGTTATACTGATGATATCCTGTTGTACCTGTCAGGAGGCCATCATCTGACACCCAAGGACTCCACCTGAAGCTCAACCTGGATCATCCAAGTCCAGTTCATCTCCATGTTCTACTGCAAATGTTCTACTGCAAATGTTCTACTGCAAATGTTCTACTGCAAATGTTCTACTGCAAATGTTCTACTGCACAAGTTCTACTGCAAATGTTCTACTGCAAATGTTCTACTGCACAAGTTCTACTGCAAATGTTCTACTGCAAATGTTCTACTGCAAATGTTCTACTGCACAAGTTCCACTGCAAATGTTCTACTGCACATGTTCTAGGCTACTTCAAATATATTCCTGCACATGTCCTACTGCACATGTTCTAGGCTACTTCAAATATATTCCTGCACATGTTCTACTGCACATGTTCTAGGCTACTTCAAATATATTCCTGCACATGTCCTACTGCACATGTTCTAGGCTACTTCAAATATATTCCTGCACATGTTCTACTGCACATGTTCTAGGCTACTTCAAATAAATTCCAGCACATGTTCTACTGCACATGTTCTAGGCTACTTCAAATAAATTCCAGCACATGTTCTACTGCACATGTTCTAGGCTACTTCAAATATATTCCTGCACATGTCCTACTGCACATGTTCTAGGCTACTTCAAATAAATTCCAGCACATGTTCTACTGCACATGTTCTAGGCTACTTCAAATATATTCCTGCACATGTTCTACTGCACATGTTCTAGGCTACTTCAAATAAATTCCAGCACATGTTCTACTGCACATGTTCTAGGCTACTTCAAATAAATTCCAGCACATGTTCTACTGCAAATATTCTGCTGCACATATTCAACTGCAGATTTATTGCACGTTTTACTGCACATTTTATACTGCACAAACGTTGCACATACTCTAGTATACATTCTAATGCACATGTTCTCATGTAGAGTCAGAAGAACCTGTGTAGGGCATCCTGGATTGTTTTTATGTAATTATTCAATATTTTCTGTGTGATGTAAGAACTATGAGAGTTACCTGTTTGGGCAGAGACTGTTTTCTCTCCAGGCTGTTGATTGGCTGTGCCCAGGTTCCTCTATGCAGTTGATTGGGAAGAATAAGAGGCCATGCCTTCTTGTGTCTTTGTGTATGAAGCCCCGCCCACTCACAGTAAGCTCCACCTATGACACAAAATCACGATTGCAGTTATCACAATGCTGTATTATATCAAAGAATGACATTCGAACATTAAATATAAAATCTTCTAATCCCAAAGTTTCTGACACACACTCTCTTCTGTTACCAGGTAAACATAATTTTCAGCTCTCAGTGTATCTTCAGTTTATCTGATGTTCTGTCACCTGGCTGCTCAGGATGTGTTTTTCCCAGTATACTTAATAAATCTGATAGCTTTAATTGTTGCTTAGAGTTTAGCAGATCCTGGTCGTTATGATGGGATAGTTTGGTTTTTCTGATTTAAAAACATCAGTTGGAGTTCACAAGAAATGTAAACTGTCAACTTATTCCTGGGATTTTGGACATTTATGTTTGAATTCATAATTTAGTTTTAGTTCTAATCAGCTTCTAAAAGGCGTGATAGAATAAAAAAATGTGTTTATGTTATCACTAACTTAACAGCTGATTATCCATCTGCTGTTTTACTTGTAGTCAGTGTCAATCAGAACTTTGTTTAAATCTCTGCAGGGATGGTCCTGTTGTTACCGATTTTAACCACCAGAGGGCATCTGGACTCATGATGAGAACAGATCTGATATAATATCTTCATCGTCTTCCTCTGCTGACAAATTCAATCAGTGTCACATTAAAATGCAAAACACACTCCAGGCAGATAGAGTGCTTGTGTTTGTGTGTGTCTGCAGTTTTCCCTGGATGTTGACTCTATCTTTTGCATCACTGGTCTTTCCTGCTGTTTTACAAACTGAAGCTATTGCTCAGTCTAGGTGAGACTCACCTGTGTCATTAGATGCAGATGAGAGGTCGGTAAGCATTACCTGCTAGACGCTATTAATAGCTGGATTCCATGAAGTTTTAAGGAGAGCCGTT